CCTATTTTTGAAATGCTGTCATATCTACAGTTTTCGAAGTAGAGGGTTGATCAGCAGCTGATATTTTTTGTTCAGGTATACTCTGAAGAAATCTACCCACTTTTTACTTGATTGCTTCTATTTCGTTAAGTTATGGCTATCTAAAGCCGATCGATTTTCGAAAAATCGCCATTTTCAGATAGCCAGAACTTTTTTCTTTTAACTCAAAATCCTTTGAAATTTTCAGGGAATATACTTCATTATATCCTTAAACAACCCTGAAAATTTCAATTTTGGAATAGAAGTGGTTTCCGAGTTATGAAGTTTTTAAAATGTCAACTTTTTGATTAAATATGACATTTTTTGTGGTTTTATCATCAATTTTGTAAATTTAATGTAAATAATTGACATTTTTCGGAAAATATATTCGAAAATAAGGAGCAAAACGGATTGTTTGAGAAAATTGAGGGAAAAAATTAATATTTTTTATTTTAATTTATTTGTTTAAAATTTTTAAAAAGTAAATATTTGTTTATTTTTTTTAATAATATGTTGAATACAAATTTCCAAAGTATTTGAGAACTATCATGTCATGTTTAGCGAATTATACTTTGCTCATAATTTACCGCCAGTCTATTGAAAAATCTAATTTAATTTAATTTAATTTATTTTTTTTTTTTTACAAAATTTGAACGTAGTTGATCAAATATGATTTTTTCAGTAAATACAGAATAATTTTTGAATAAGTAAGTGAAGGCAAGACAGGTAGTCTTTCGAGCCAGTGAAGGCAAGAGAGACAGATTGTCCGGCCAGTGAAGGCAAGAGAGACAGATTGTCCGGCCAGTGAAGGCAAGAGAGACAAATTGTCCGGCCAGTGAAGGCAGGAGAGACAGACACACACGCACGCACACAGTCGAACCTTGTTAACTCGAAAACCTTTATAATTCAAATTTTTTTTTATTCCTTTAAAAAACCCTCTATAAATTGAAAAAAACCTCTGTAACTCTAAATAAACCTCTGTAAGTCGAAGAAAAATAGGAGATTAACTCGAAGTATTTTTCCAGCGTACCATTTACCTCTATAACTCGAATTGTTACGAGATATAGAGATTAATATTATAAATTGGACTCTGTATATCTCGAATTTTGATCAATAAAACCTCTATAACTCAAAGTAAAAAGATTTTGCATCAGCTTCTTTCTCTTTCTTTCTTCTTTCTGTCCATTTGCTAAGACAACTGACAAATTTTCAACGCGATATATGACAAAATAATAAGGAATACATAGTCCTTGTTTGTTTGTTTTGACATTATTGTTTATCTAGTATGACTCGAAAATGAGTGCAGGAAGAAAATTAAAATCGTTAACTGTATCGAAAAAACTTATAGTAATTGCGGCTGTTAAAAGTGGATTAAAACCGAAGAAAAACATTGGTGCAGAATATGGCATTTCTGCAAGTACTCTTTCCACTATAATAAAAAATAGAGAGGATATTTTAGCTCGAACATCATTAGGTTAATTAGAAAGAGGTTAATTAGAAAAAAGAAAGAGAGAAGCAGAATTTTCCGATGTCAAAGAATGTGTGCTGAAATGGTTCAAACAATGCAGAAGCAGCAATGTAAGTATTGGAGGATTTTGAAGGAAAAAGCAGAACAGTTTGCAAAACCTCTATAAGTCGAATTTTTCTCCATACCTCTATAACTCGAATTATTTTCTATTCCCTTGAATTTCGAGTTAACGAGGTTTGACTGTATATATACATATATGTTATATGTATATATGTATATATATATATATATATACATACATATACATGTAGTGTCTATTACTTTCACACGCGTGCGCATAGAGGATAATCATCCCATGTATACCTTTCTCTCTTACACAAATGTTGGAAACACAACTCGAACCTACATTCCCCTTCCAGGTATATATGTTCTAAAGAGGTGATAGAGTATAATTTGGCAAACTGAATCGTATTCAGCGTCCAAAAAACTATCAACTGCCACAAGTTTCTTGTGCTTTCTTTGTTGTATGTTGTATGTTGATCAGTGTAATTTGAATTAAAACAACAACGTTATTATTTAACGTCACAATTCCATCTTGCAATGCAAATTCTCTTGAATTTTCTTCATACAAATCTACTCACTCCTTCTCAGCTGCTAGTTGTTTGTTTTTTTGCTCTATCTCCAGGCCCAGTTTTGTAACATTTAGACGCAAATTCTCGATCATCTCCTGTGCATTTTGTTCACGCGCGTGGGCCGCATCAGCCAATTTTGTCGTTTTTGTAACTTCTTCTTTCAATCGAGCTATCTCATCCTCGTAGGTCTCCACTGATCTTTTCAGCTCGTATATTTTGTATGTATTGTCTACAATTTCATTCTAAAAAAAACATTTTAAATGTGTCATAAGATGAGCTTCCGAGAGAGAGAAAGAGAGAGAGAAAGAGAGAGAGAGAGAGAGAGAGAGAGAGAGAGAAAGAGAGAGAGAGAGAGAGAGAGAGAGAGAGAACATTTGATGCAATTCTGTTTTCTCAGTTTTACCTTGAGCATTGTGCATTGTCCCGATAGTTCCTTTTCATTTCTGTGCGCTTTATACAAAGATTCATAGAGTCTCGCATATTCAGCTTCAAAGGGAGCTAGTGCTTTATTAGAACTCATTTCATTCGTTATCTATAGATAAATGAGGATATATTTTTAATTGTAGTATGCTATTTGGGACATTAATAGGAATATAGACTTAAATCTGAGATTAAAAAATTTCAATCAGCATTTATGGATTTTAATTGGAACTGCCATAGAAAAACTTTAGAATTTCATAAATAATAGTTACAATTCTATATAGCATTACTATCTATCTTGCTATCAAGAGATAAACATCTAAGACTTGTTTTACAGACTTAAGTTTGCATTTCACATAATTCTTTATAAAGTAAGTAAATTTAATTTAATAAAAACAGGCAAAACAATGTTTATTTTAAAAGTTTTTTAGTACATTTGATTACAAAATTCTATTAAAAAATTATGAACAAAGAAGAAAATATAATAAAATACAACAAATATTAGATAGCACATTCTACATATTTTATTAATTCGATTGTTAATTTAATTAATTTCACTATACTAGAAAAATAATATACTGGAAAAAATAAGATATTAAATATTTTAACATATACCTATATTGGAAAAATGCATTTTAATATTAGTAAAAAAAGAACATAAATAAAAGCAATTTTAAAACTGCTAATAAATTACTTATGTGATTTTTAATTTTTAAATGTGTGTACAAACATATTTTTTTCAATACAAACTCGATAAACGTCATACATGTCTATATTGTGCGCTACGTTGGATCATATAAGATACACAGACTCCTCGGGTTGTAAAAAGCCGTGATGTAAAGAACATGTATTAATGAAATATATAGAATATGCTATCTAATATTTATTGGGTTCTATTGGATCTTCTTCTTTGCTCATAATTCTTTAATAGGATTTTGTAATAAAATGTACTTCAAAATTATACAAAAAACATTGTTTTACCTATTTTTGTTAAACTTTCTGGTAAATATGCATAAAAGGTCAGTACCGATTTTATCGCCACTTAAATATGTTGTAGGGGAGGTCTTTCTATCTTATTACTCTTTTTAGGTATTATAAAATAACATTAGTTCTAAGAAAAGTAATTTTCGATATGTGTGTATAGACAGTAGACATATAGGGGTGGAAAGTTAAAACCCGAACTGTACAATAATAGATCTTGTTTTGCTTTATAAGAAAGAGTGGGATAAACCTCGCTTCGTGTGGGGAGTTGCAAATCCATGTGGAATCATACAATAATAAAAAACAACAATTTATCCTTTTGCCATTGTTAAAGCAGAGAATACTTTGTAAATTGTATTTATACATTTTAAAATATAATGTTGTATATATACTTTTGAATATATTAACTATTCTCTGCTTTAAAAAATTATTTCTGTTACAGATATTGATTTTCACACGATACATACGTATTTCCACACGAAACGAAGAAAAAAGAAAAAACGGGTTTTTAATTTTCTACGCAAACCAAGGTCCATCCTCACTCATCCCTGCTTGCAGGAGAGGGGTAGTAGCTCTTCCTCCACCTACATGTGTATTGTCTATACACACATATACCGGCAAATTACTTTTAGCATTAAAATTGTAAAACTTTAATTTGCTATATCTTTTAAACCAATGTTGTCCCTCACTTTTTTCTTGCGTAAAATTACTTAGAAAGACTTCCCCTACAACATATTTAAGTGGCGATAAAATCGATGAGTATTGATTTTTTATGCATATTTACTAACTTTCTATATTATTTATTAATGAAGAAACATGGGTCTAACTCTAATAGTTAGGTTAGACAGAATGCGATTTAAATATATGCATGTATGAATAGATAAATCATAATTATAAGTCTATTCATTTGTATTTTTTATATATTTTTTTTCTAATTATATTGTTAGTGAGTTTATATTAATATTGCGATAAAAAGCACAGTTCTTTTTATATTGTATAGATCAATACATAAAGTCTATTAAAAGTAAATTGTTTATTATAAAATTAATTATATAATAACTTATATTTGACCTTTAAAGAATGTTTATAGCTATAAAAAATTAAAATGTTTAAAATACATATTTTTAGCAAAATATTGCTAATATATGAAAAAGCAAATATATAGGAAAATATATACACAAAAACTAAAAATTAAAAAATAAACTATATAGATCTATGATAATTATGATACAATTAAGTAAAATACAATAAACAGACAAATACATTTTAATAATTTTCGCAAGCAAAAGCTCTTACCCTTGCATAATCTTTCTCCAAAGTACAAAACGTGCTACTTGCCGAACTTCTTTCTGAGGATGGTTGACTGGTTTCACTTCCATCATCCTGAAAGCAGTATCATTTTATTGCCATTATAAAATATTATGATGAGTAATTATCACTTATCCAAATTATTTCACATTTCAATAAACATGATATTCAAGATAAAACGAGATTACGCAAGTAATATTAAATTTTTTTTGCTTTTTAATATATAAAAGCTCTTGAGTCATATAAAAACATGCCATAAAGAATTAAACAATAAATTAGTAATTAGATATATTTTATAAGTAATTACTTACACCGTCCAATTCAGCATTCATGTCTATATCCATCATGATGTATCAGCGAAATTAAAACTTGTCGATAAATATATGTAAATAAATCTTGCGATTTTACGAGATAAATATTGTTGTAAACTAATTTTTTAGTTCTTAAAATTTACTCTATGATTCAAGAACTTGCGAACTTTTTGCAAATTTCTAAATTAGCTAATTAGTGTAATCAAGGTTTCTTATACGACTGTAGTGACAATATGACGGTTCAAGGAATGTTTCTGTGCCTCTGGATATAAGCTATTTCAAATTGTTGACTAGTCGCTATGACAACAAAGCATTCTTGTACTGATATACTTACACTCATACATTACGAAATAATCAATAAGGTAGCATCTTTGTAAGGTGCTCTCGGATTAACGCATAATGCGCAGACTACCCGCGGAAAAAAAGTTAAATATGAACTTTATATGGACCTTAATAAAATCTCCATTTAAATTTTATTTGATTTAAATTAATGCTGAATAACTGCATTAATATGGCTCATACTTGTTCTATATATAAAACTTAATTAAGAATATGAGAAGAAATGCCGATATACATTTCGATTAAAAATCTCAAACACATATGAATTCATGACGTATATTCTTAATCGACGTCTATACTCGTACGTATGTTTCGTAGTATACAAAGTATATATACGTACTTCTTATAGTATCATTTTATCATCAAAATATTCGTATTTAATTTGGCTTAATAAGGATTTAATTAGCTAATATATTCAATTTAAATATTTATCTTATTGAAACCATATATGAAATTAATAAGTTGTAAATTTTATTCAAATTTCATTAAATTCAAATAGGACTTTTATATATTCTTAATATGTTGAATTCAAATAAGACCTTTACACGTTCTTAATGAGGCTTTTAAGGCACAGCGCGCGCGCACCAGAAGCTGAATCCTTGAATTTATTCGCGAGAAAAACGTATGCGGAAATTCTGTTCTTATAGAAAAGTTGCAAGTTGATTAACTAAAAGCCATGCGATCAACTTGCTACTTTTCTGTAAGAGTAGAATTTGCACATACCTTTCTCTTGCGAATAAAATCAAGAATCCAGCCCCTGTTGTAGCTTGCCGAAATGTTGCGGTCTCAATCAACAGGCAATATTTTACAAACGTTTTTTAATATGTGTTTGAAACTGATTTTCAAATATTTTTCAAACGTTTAAAAAACATTGTCTGCTAATTAGGATAATAATGAGATTAGAGAATATGGTATCAACAGAGAATGAGTTATAAGATAAAAAAAAAAACGTTTATAAATTACAATTATTGTGTTTATATTGGTTTGCTTTAAATCCAGTGATACAAAAAAAAAGATAAGTAAACTTCTGATAAAATTAACAAAATGCAACTCTTAGGCAGTAATCATAAAAACAAATATTAATCGCTAGCGACAAAAAGATTTGACTAAAAAAATTGATCCAGTGGCACAAAATATTAATCACAATCATAAAAACCAAGAACACAATTTGCTAGCTCAAAAAAATAAAAATGGAGAAATTCTTTATATACTTAATCAAGCTGAAGATCGATACTATATAGAAGAATCGCTAAAACAATAACTGGAAGTCACTAAAATTCCCCATGCGGATGCATATCATTGGTTAATCAATTTCCTTTGTAACTCAGTCGATAGCCAATAAGAGGACATATAAATGTAATATATCGTTTTTTCGCTTTTTGTTTAACACAACGATTAATGATTATTATACGCTATAAACCTTGCTTGATTAATAAGAAACTTATATACGGAAGCACATATCGAAGTATGTTGTAGTTATCGAGAACTAAGGTAACAAAGGTTCGGCCCCAGTGAAACGCATACTCCCTCGTCTTCGCCAACCGAAGGTTGGCAGCAGTCGGGAGAATAAAATCGTTTGTCATAATTATACTCTGTGGCGCTTTTGCTTTCTCACTCTCTCTCTCTCTCTCTCTCTCTCTCTCTCTC